GCTATAGCAAGCAACTCTCTCCGATAGGTTGGCGCTGGGAATTACACTTTTCAGTTAGCAGGAGTATGCAAGAAAAACTATTTATTTCTCATCAAATACTGAAGGTAATTTAGGATCTCCAGATAAGAGAGGAATTTCTGTAACCCCTCCAGAAAAATTTCATGTTTGTTGAAACAACTAAATAAGAATCACCGAATTTCCAGTCTTCTTGCACAGATAATTCACCGTGAAAAAACTGTTAAAGAAAAATGTCCCTCCAGATAGGTAATTATATATTGAAATATATACAAAGGCCTGCTATGATGTTTTTAAGAGATAACAATAGCCATTAAGTTTGAATGTGAATTCAATTAATAATTTGAAGTATCTGAACTCATTCTATTTCTTGTTGATCAAGTGACCAAATACCTAATGCTTTTGAGAGTTTCTTATTTATTTCTTGTTGAGAATGTTGATGGTACGCAATTCAAGTACCCAAGGTCATGAGAGTGCCCTTTTTACTGATTTATCCATTCATTACGAGAAAATGCTTAAAGGGTTAAGCTGAGTTTGTGCGGATCATTAGCGACACCCAGTGACTTTTTAGGTGATCACAGGTGTGCGATTCCAATCCAGAATACCACTGTAGTAGAGAGATCCAAACTGAAGAGGACGTTTAACTAGCTGCCTACCTGCCTACCTTTCTTGTCCGGGTTGATCTCTCACTCTGTAAATAAATATAAATAAATAAATAAATAAATAAATATACTCTGCAACACTGTTATACTTAAGTGCATAATTTTCTGGGATGGAACCCAGTTCTTCCAAGTGTGCCTGGTCACAACACAAGCAAAAATGGAAAGGAAAACAAAAAACAACAACAACAACAACCAAAAAAAAAAAAAAAAAAAAAAAAGAAAAAAGAAAAAAGAAAAAAAGAAAAAAAAGAAAGAAAAAGAAAGTCTTCAAAACTATCTCTATGATTCCAGTGTTTTAAATGACAGCGTGAATAGAAGGTGAACTGGAATACCAGCACTGAAGTATGGATAGTTTCTATTTTGTTACTTCATAAAATTTTATTCAGTCAAAAATGCCTTTTGGTCATAAACAATGAGACCTCATTCCAATTTTAGACTTAAAATTAACATCTGCCACAACAGGATCTATGTGATTTTTTTGTTTTGTTTGCTTAGTCTTAGATATAAAACAGTTACACTGCCATTTATTTCTGTCCTTTTTAATTTCTGTTTCAACCTCATTCTATATGTACTGACCTGTCTTTGTTTCTGCATGTAGTTCTCACACAGTGTGAGGTTTCCATTTGCAACCAGTCTTCTCTAAACTGAATATCCTTCACCACTACTCATAAGTCATGCCTTCTAGGATTTTTATAATCTTGTTGCTTTCCTTTGGACACATTCTAATATTTTTATGTTCTTCTTATGTTGTGGAAATGAAAGCTGAACAAAATACTGAAGGGTTAATTTTGTTACAGACTTCAGATTAGGATTCTTCTTGTCTAACCAGTGGTCTGCACAGCAACAACCAAGATATAATATGCACGAAGTGAAACAGAAAACCTGTCCATTTCACCTAACCTCTGAATTAAAAAAGCATTTTGATGTCCCCTCAATTCCTGAATAAGCAAACAAAACAAACACCTTCGTACTACAAATATTTCCTCAGTAATTTCTGTAAATAATCATGACTAAATATCTAACCGTCAATCCAATGTTAAGCAGCATAAAAAAATGAAAAAGTTTGAGTTACGACATAGAAAATACTGTTTGGCCTATACTTATTATTTGAATCTTACCTGGGTTTAATTATGTAAGGCCACATACATCAAAGCATAATCATTTTAACTAACTAAGATATTTTGTAATAAAGACCAGATGCCAAAATGTTAATCTGGCCAGCAGCCAATGAAATGCGAAATATTAGTGTCATTTTAATGTGTAAACAATGATACTTATTCAAAACTAGATCAAAAAACAATGTGTTTCTAATACAACCATGAAATAATTTGTTTTCTTTTCATGTAAAAACTACCCCAGGCTCTGGGCTCTACAACTCAATTTAAAATACATGTCATAAACAGAAATACAGGGTAACAAATGGAATGGTATTATACTGATCAGATGAATACTTATTCTTGTGACACGACTGTTGATTTTTACTAATTATTTCATGCTGCCTGGCAACACAAAAAATGAGTTTGCACCCTTGCTTACAACACCAATTCGACATGCACAGATTCAGTCTATTAAAAAATATTATAAAGCTGATAATTCTTCATCAACATTACAGTGTCTATCTCATATATATAACAAGAAAAAGGAAAAAGATTAAATTTCTACAGTAAATCAGAAGACTAGAATATCTACTGACACAGACTAAACATAGAATGATAGAATGATAGAAAATAATTCTGTATTTGTGTCAAAGTGTATAATAATTTTATTTAATGTGCAGACATAACATTTCATTTTTATTAGCAATGACTATCAAGATAAAAGTAAGATTGAAAAAAACTAAAGTGTTAAGGGTGACAATAAAAACATTAACACAGCTTTTAAAGTATTAACCAGATCTACTTTGAACCTTAGGTCTAGAAATTGAATAAGACATACAAATTCATCAGCAAAGCAGAATAGTGTGAAGAAAAGGAATACATGTAGATCATTAAAACGAGGCATACATTTTTAAACATTTGCTGTTGGGCATTTGTATTATATCTCTCAAGTTCTCCTAAATATTTGCTCAGAATTGTTTCTAAAAACTAAACAACCATCACCAGTTCTGAATGGGAAAAAAAACAAAATTTCTTATGTAAAATAGATGGCACGACTTCAAATCACAACTGGAAACACTCTCAAAGACTTCCAAGGGATAAAACAGCATCAGACGAGAGAACCTCAGGGATAGTTTACAAAGATGTCTGTTCTTCAATCGCTCTTTAACTTCAGTAAAGTAAAATTTTGTGACTTCAGCCAAATGCAAAATACCTTTCATCTTAACAAAAGCAAGGCAAAATTCCCTTTTGTATCCTTTTTTTAATTTTCTTTTTCTCTTTTCAACACTGAGATTTTAATTTTTTTTTGCTACAACAAAAGCAATTCAAAATATGCACTTAGTTGAAATTCTCTGTAAGAATGGAATGTTAGTCACAAAACCAGCTTCTTCAACCGTAAGTAAACTTAATTACTGTCTTCTACATTCTCCCTGATAATTGTCAAAATCTACACCAAAGTTTCAAAAACTCTTCTGAAAAAAAAAAAGTGTTTTTCTTTGTTTATTCACTCATTTTCCAGGAAAATACGAAATATTTTGCTACTGCCAATAAGATAAGTAAAATCACAGGACTTCTGTTTGTCCCTTACTCCGATCTCCTTCATAGCACAGTCTATCCACGTTGCACAGATTCTTTCATCTGTTGCAAATATTCATACTTACTAAAATCCAGTTTGTGTCTTTCTTATTGAGTTCATTAAAGTTACACTGTACAAGTGACCCTCTTTGTGATGAAAATTGAAGTTGTACTCCCTGGGCTTGATTTACCGTATTTCCCTAGTTTCATGTCATCATATTCTATCTATAAAGTCCTTTGAGAAAAAAGAGGGCAGAATCTGCTGCCAAGAAAAGGAAAAACAATCTCTAATTTGTATCCTATGCCTGACCCTTCTGCTGAAACGCGCATTCATCTTCATTTATAGTCCAGCTTACTATACTGTAGTTTGACATCTTAGTGTCTGAGGCCACAGTGCAGTTTACTGTAATGCCAAAGTGGAAGTGAAAGAGGAAAAAGTATCATTTTATCACCAGGTGGAAAGATGAGCAGAATGCAGCTTGATGGAGTGCTTAATATGTGTGCTGCAGAATATTGTAAGAATGGCAGATCTGTTTCTTAATATAATGATTGTCTTGTATGTACTCTCTACTTTTCAAAGGCAGGCCTCAGGTTAGATTCTACCATGTTGTTCAAAAAAAAAAAAAAAAAGAATGATAGCTAACTTTTAAATCAAATTCATCATCCTTTTAGTATAAGAAAGGAAAATGAATCTAGTCCTTAATTAATTAGTCATTAAATTATCAAAAATATTCAGAAAGATGTTAATTGGTGAGTTGACACCTACAGCAAGGATCATGTAGTCCTGATGCTTTCTTTCATTGTTATTCTTTCGACTCTTTTTTTTTTTTTTTTTTTTTTTTTTTACCTCTTTTTCAATTTCATTCTTCACTTTATAAGCAACTTATCTAGCTTCCCTATTTCCTTTGTAATATTTAGGGGAGAAGGTGAAAGTTCAACCCAATTTCTGGGTGATTATTATTTCTTGATAAAAGGTATTCTTTGGTACATAATAGAATAACCCAGACAGAGCCAATTATCTGTCTCACACTGAATAAGAAAATCTTCCATTTTGCTCAAGTTTTACACACTGAATGTTAATCCTATTGCTTTTTGAAAATCTAGTTAAAATTCTTTTATATATATATAAATACAATTGGTTCACCAGCCCTACATTCCATTTGCTTCCCAGTCATGGGGTGACAGAACTTTGATGTATTAGGAATTAAGTATTTAACAGATAGAAGGGATGGAAGAGAAAAGAGTACAGAGTCACAAATATCAATTTAGCATCTAACTTGCTTCACATTCATTGAAGGTTAGGTATTTGCTAACACTTCTACCACTGAATTTTCATTCTGGAGGACTGCAGTTGTTGAAATATATCTTGGTAAACAGGGTATAGAAAGAGTCACTAACCATAGGCTGAAACCAAATCTTCCTTAAGCCAAAATAAAGCCCACATGAGACAAAAATTCATTTGTGCTTCTTATAAATATTTTTACAAAAATTTTTGGAATTCGCTGAAGTCAAAATACATAAAAGTATGCCTCACCCATAACTGCAAGGAAATGCAAGTTTTCATTAAAAATACTGAATTATATTCACGAATTTCACAGTTTTCTGCCGCAGATACAAAAAATGGAAACAAATGCAGCTCTAAGAGTTCATCTTATTATCTGAATGAATGCCATTTTTTATTATTTTTACTTTACAAGCAAACAGACAAAATATCAGAAAGATTTAATCACCCTTTCTGTCTATAAAGCAGAAAGCCAACTTGTATCTATCAGGGATTAATTTTTCATGCTTCCTGTTATTCAGAAAAGGAGAAAATATTCTTGATCTATTCTTCTTAATGAGGAAAATCAAACACAGACTTTCAAAAGCATTAAGGCATCTGGGTGTCACTGGAATCAAAGAGAATTAAACACTCTTGGTTTTTCTTCTGAAGATTTGCATTTACATCCATTTTGACTTATTACCATAGGGACAGTTGTACTATGGTGCAATTCTTCATGGAAGCTGCCATTTCATTTCTGCTCACAGTCCTGAAGATCTGCACTGACAAGAAAAAAAAACAAACCAAACCAAAACAAAAAAAAACAATGGGTATAACTGACTAAAATGTGGAAAGCACAACACTGGAATTAGTATTCTCAAATGGGAAAGTAACTGGCTTTAATAGCCATTAAGATATGTGAAGTTTCTCTGTGGAAATAAGCCATCTCAGCTTCACTTTCAGCAAAAAAAATTACTCACCAGATAATGCAGTCATTCAGAATGCACTGAGGTAATGTTGGTTCAAAATGTTCTGAGCAGACCAAAAAGAAAAAAGAGATAATGTTCTGATAACTCTGAAAAGAAAAACAAAAGCACTGAATTATTTCAGTGCTAATACTCCTTCGATTCTAAAAAGGAAAACGGCATCAGTACAGGCAAGTTAAAGATGAGCTGATGGTTGGCATTTCTGCAGCCACGTCAAGAGGAGTTTATGGGAGTCTCCCCATTAGCATAACAACACCATAAGAAATACCTAAAATCTTAGTTTTTGCACAGATGTGCAGGGTTTTCGGTAGCAACACTCTTATTTGGGTATGCTCAGTAGAAAAAGCCAATAGATAGAACAGAAGCTCTTCTCAGATACATATCAGCCAGCAAAGTTAGTTTACTACATCTGGGGAAAAATGTTTCACCCTTTAATGAGCTGTGGCAAATTATTTCCAGAATAGCTGGGGAACTCTACAAAATATTCTGAGAACACACTATCACTTCTCATAACAGATAAAGCCCAAAAGGCACTGTTTAGTCAGAGATATTAACTATTAAACATAATTTAAGAATTCATAGAGCCATCTGAAATCATGTACGTAGGCTTAGAATTTAAGGAAATGAGAGTAGCAGCAGGAGTGAAAATATTGAACTTGTCCTAAGAGATGCTGTGTTATGAGTAATACCACACAATTGCACTGATTCTTTTCCTTTGTGAAAGAAAACAGATGTTTTAAATCTGGTGTCTTCATATGCAGGCAGGCTATTATGCTCTGTAAATAGGTTTAAAATGTCCTAACATTTCTGAGGCTTTCTTATTTCTTGCTCATTTACCTCACTTCAGATTGCTTTCTTACTTTCCCCCCTTCCCATTAAATTATTCAGGAACTCCTGTTTATAAAGGTCACAGTCATAAAAATCAGGGAATGGGAGCACTAGCGTGTGATTCTAGGCACCAATGAGGCAGCACGCAAAGTGGATTGTGAAGGACTCATAAAAAGTAAGGCCAGGAGGAACCATTTAGATCATCTAATCTGATCTCTGGTATTGGACAAGTCATTATATCTCACTTACATAGCCTAGTAGTAAGCTCTGAGTCAGGAATTGAGAATGCTTCAGCTTCTGCTAAAAACAGAAACGTTATCTCTTTGGTAACCAACAGCAGGCAGGAGCCAGCCAGGCAAACTAGTCGCTAGTACTCCCTATGAAGGGGATCCTATGCTTCATGGAATTAATTCCATTTCTCATTAAACAGGATTCAGGGAGGCCTACAACTTGGAGAAGACATCCCTTTCCTCAAGCTCCTTCCTGGCTCAGATAAAGAAGCAATCTGACCCTACCACTGTCTTAGAGCTCAGATGAAAGGGTTGCAACAAGCAGGAACACCTGAAGAAAGGCTCACTGGGCTGCATTATATGATTTGTTGCTTCCAGATCCCAGCTGAGTCAAATTAATATAAATACTGCTTAATTAAGCCACATCTTTTTCCTTAAACAAACAAACAAACAAAAAACTACAACAAAAGTTCCTTTTGCGTGCCAGGGACAACAGATGTGTTCAGCCAGTGCTTACCCTTATGCCCTCATTATTTTCCTTGGTAGTTTTGTTCTGGTCATTAATTATTATTTTCAATGCATCATTGAAAATAAAAGTAAAACATAGGAAAAAAATGACTTCAACTTCTTTGAATGTACCTTGCTTCAACTTTCTGCCACAGGTTCTTATGATTTATCCCACATGTGAAAAAGTCCTTTAATATCCAGTGGTACTGCAGGATATTCAGGCTACCTTCCATCTTACTTTTTGCAGTCTTAAATAGTTGCTGCTATTTTGTAAAATATTTGGACAATGTTTGTGACTCTGTTTTGTACCTTCATCAGATTTAAAAGTGTGCCCTAAATCTGTGTGGATCAGTGTATCACTGATTTCACTAGCATTGAACAGGCAAAATCCGTGCTGCTCTTCCTAACATGCACCCACACACCCAAGGGCAAAGCAAAGCCTTAGGCCAAAGCCTGGTTTATTTGGTTTGGTTGTTCTTTCAGCAGAGACATGTACAAAAACTGCAGTTGTTGTATACAGGACTGCCATATCCCATTCTATAGATTTAATTCTCTTATTTTTTTGTTTGTATGCAAAACTTTTCATGTTTCTGGTTTAATTCACTGGTCTGTATCAGTGTACGATAGACCAGTCCTCACCTTTTAAGCACACGAGCAATTTTGACATCCTCCATTTTTTCTATCAAACAAAAGTAGATATATAATTTACTGAGAAGCCATTGAGAAACTTGGAATTCAATACCAAAAGCCTGCAGAAACTCAGTGAGTAAACCCTTCTTTAATAATAGTTTTCCAGTTATGGGTGTTATTTTTTTGATCAGCACGTTAATGAATTTTTGATTTAGTTACACTGATATCTCACAGCATTAATCTTTTTGTCAGCATTTCAGTTACTAAATACATTAAAATTATATATTCATACATTAATGCCTCATTCATACACACTAAATGCCTTAATAATAATTCAGCTATGTGGTTACCTTCTTTTGGGGAAATTTTTAAAAGGTTTGTTTGACAAGACTTATTTACTGTAAAGCCACATTGAATAGCATTAATTATATTCCTGAACATTACTTGCAGTAAACAGCTAGTGAACAATCCATCAAATAAAATATGTTTGCACACTGTATTTGGCCTCTGTGAAGAGAAGTCTATAGGCGTGTTTCCACTGATTCTTTGGACTTTAGACAGGCTTTTATCAAACACTTCAAAATAGCGTGCATATTAATTTCAAAAAGCAGTCCATCCACTAACAACTCACAAACAGTTATCAGAATAGATCTGGTAGAAATCTTATTTGCTACAATTGATTCATGCACATTTAGAGGAATATATATCTATAAAGAGTACTAAAATAGCGGAGTTAACGCTATTTCAAGGTCTTTCCTTTTCACTTCAAGATCATAATCACTGTTCATATTTTCTTGTCTTTCCATAGACAGCACTACTAAAAAGAAGTGGAATGCTTCAAATGCAGTTAAGCAGATAAACAGCACACTGCTCATGGGCTGGAAAATGAATACCTTGTTGCTAAGTTACCTTTGTTTCATTTAGTGTTGTAATTATTTGTTGCTTAAAGAAAAAGCACTGACATTTCCCCCTTAGTCCCTGCCATATGGAAGATAGCCTTTTAAGATTCTTTTATGAAACACACATTTATAATACATTTCTTTAGTTTTCCAAATGCAAGAATCAACATGCTGAGGGATAATCAGGATGTACCAGGGTCCAAACATTTCTACTGTGCCATTCCAGAAAAAAATATAATATTCCTGACTGTTTTTAGAAGCCAAGCCCTATTTTATTCTATATTTCCCTTTCTTTAATGTCAGAAAACGTGCAGGATGAAATTATCTGCCATCCACTTTAATCACTATGTAGAAATGTTCCCTTCTGGTGGGTTAACAAAACAGATGGTATGAGTGAATGGGCTCATATTTCAGTTTTTAATCACAGTCAGCGCCAGAGGTCTTATTTGGATCCATATGATTTTTGATATATTTGTCTTTAAAACAATATGGGCACAGCATAAAGGTTGAGGACAAAAAGCAATTGCTAGCCTAAATATGTGCATTTTAAGATGTGTGGAAATATTTATTGAATTGTTGGCAAGCTATTTATACCTGAGGAACTCTAAGGATTTTGCAAATTTTGAATATCACAAACCTGCTATAAGGGACAGAAATTTTAAAAATTATTCTTGAAACAAATGCAGAGGGAGGTTTAGTGACTCTCGTAGAAAGAGATTAAGCAACCCAACCAGTGTCATCAGTTGTGCCTATAGTGAAGCTGGGGACAATACCTGCATCCAGTATTGGATAATAATTTTAGACAAGATCAGAAGATAAAACATGAAACCTTTACCATTCAGTCCTTTTCCAGAGTTTCTGGTAATTTATTTGCTTTCACTCATGAAAATGTGTGGACATTTACCGTTAATATTTGATCCAGACAGTACACATACATGTCCTTTCAAGAGGTGGTTGAAACATTTGACAGGTAGCCACAGATTGGAGTCACAGCTATGTGGCTACACTGATAACCAAGACAGCATTTTGCATATGGCAACAGGATGATGGGTGCACTGGGATGAAGCATGCTGAGGTTGTCAGCATAAAGTTATGATGTACTGCTTCCATGCTTATACAAGATACTAAGCCATACAAGGTTGCCAAAGAGGCTGTTTCAGACCTTCTCTTTTTGTATTTTCATCTTTTAACTCCCTAGTACACGACTTTGCAAGCATAACCTTTTTTTCAGCCATGACTTACTGAAGTAACACGTTCTATCTACCCATAGCATGGAATTTATATATAAGCTTTTTCAGGGTCAAGATTCTTCTTCCTAAAGGGTTATTAATAAGGATACAAGTTTTCAGACACTAGGCAGAATTTATAGCTCCAATACTTGGAAAAACTGTCTATGATCTGTCTCACATAGTCTCGCATGGATTATATAGCGTGACAGAAAACCTGGAGTTCACCTGAGTAGAAGTAACTTTTCCTTGCAAACATATGGCCAGTACAATAATTCCAATTTAATAAAAGCATTACAAAAATAAAGGATTGGCAATGACTTGTTGAAGGTTTTTCACTAGTGTCAAAGAAATAACAGCTTTTCTTCAAATCTACAAAGGCATAGTTCAGAAGTTAACTGGATGAACAATGAATAAATAAGATGCTGGGATAAATATAGTAATGAAGCTTACATCTGTAGTCTATTCTATCAAATAAGTTGCTGCCCTCTCTTTTAAATCCTCCCTTACACAGTAAGCAGTTATTATTGCTTGCTTATGTCTTTCTTTAAACAGCAAGTGTTTCACTATTATGTGACAATAGATATATAGCTTCAGCATTTGACAGGCAGACATAAGTAGATATATCCCTGAAAAACAGGTGTTTTGTTGGTACATGGAGAACCACAAGGAGATAGAAATAAAGTAAAAGTAATGCATTTCTTCCATCATTTCTCTTACAGAGGTACTGAATCAGAGTGAAAGTCCTAGTTTTATTTCAGTATCATTTCACTTTATCTTCATAGATTCCCACGTCACATTTTTACATTCTCCACCTATTTAAGGATCCACTGAGGAACACATTCACACATTCTTACTCATTTATCTCTGTCACTTTTAATTACCACAGTGGGCATTTTCTTGCTTGTGCATATTCCCACTCTATTCCTCTTTCTTTTTTCCTCCTAGGAGGAGTGTGGCACTCTTTATTCCAGGCACCCTTGGCTGTACCATCTACAGGAAGATCAAAGACAGGGTCATATCCATCTAATAACAAGAGAGGAAACAATACAGTAGGTGAACACTCTATTAGCCTCCTTCTTCATTTTATTCAGGTCAGCGCTCAGGGACTTTCAGATGTCTTTGAACAAATGGATGTGAAAATGAAAGACAAGTTACAAAGAAATAAGTTTCTTTTCTTACGCAAGTTAGGCTGATAGGTTGAACCACACTAGTGTTATAATAGTCTTTTCCCTGGGCAGCTCAGGAAGCATCTTTTCTGAACATTCCTCACCCTTGAAAATAAAGCATAAAAATCTGCTTCCATCTTGAGACTTGCAGCTATTAAAAAATGTCTGGAGGCGATAAAATGAAGACTTGTGTAGGATACTGAGGACATTTATTATTGACAGGAAATCAGTCTTCCGTGGTAGCTGAACTGCTAGATCTCTATAGAGAGGACTAATTTTTTCATCACTGTAAATAGGGAAAGCTTTACTAACTTTGGTGGTGCTGTATTAGTTTATGCCAGCAGAGAACTTACAATGTTCGATTTATTTGGGGCATCTGGAACAGTATGTTTGTGTCATTGCACTGCAAAAGCAATGAAGATCAGGACTTCAACAGAGAGGAATTCCTGACTTGGCCTCTCAGCCCACCTTCTGCTGCACAACTCCACATATGGCAACACAGAAAGAAAAACAGAAGAAGCAATAGCCACTTTGTTTTAGATAAGGATACTTTTTCTTTTCTTCCTGCCCAATCTGCTTCTACCACTTTTCATTTCAGCCAACCACTCTAAAGACCAGAGCAACTGTTATGATTCCCTTTGGGTATATGAGTTCAGTGGGAATGTAACAGGCAGTGTCCTTGTCTTCTGTTAAAAAATGGTTGTTATCTAAAAATAATTTACTGCAAAAAAACTGAGGCATGCTACAATATTCAGAGGGAAATTTTCAAGTATTTTTCTTTGGATTTTATTGCAAAACATAGCATTCCTTACATATTTCAGAGAAAGACTGTAAAAGCTTTTGAAAATATTTTCAAAACGAAAGTGAATATACTCCACAAAGGCACAATTATGTCAATATGTATGCATATGAAAAATTTTCTAGTGCTGAAAACCTTGTCTAAAACACTTTGTCTAATGCTTGTAATATTGTTTCAAATTAAAATTCCAGAAAGAATTGCATCTTCAGCATGAGTGAGGTTTCACAAAATGTCATGACTTTTGCATGCTCTAGCAGAGGATCTCGTCCTTTATTGGATTATTTTTTCCCAGATGGGATTATACAAACCATATATTTCATCCAGGTAATTTAATAAAAAATACATTCCTACTGCTATATCATAGAAGATGTTTTAATGTTCTTTTTGGTATGAAATTATTCTCAACTAAATTTGGTAATTTCTTAAGTATGATCTCAAAATCCACAAAAGATTAAAGTCTCAATTCAGTAGGTCATCTGAATAAATGCCTA